TGCTTTCTAAAACTATACAATACCCTCTCACAAGCTAACCATAACATGTAATCCGAGTGTCATAAAAAAAATTTGGTACATGCCTCTTGTGACAGCACAACTGGCGAGAGTTTCTTCTCCTCGTGTTCATCCTGAACTGTGCCCTAATGTGATAAAAAGAAGACAGTTATGGGTCACAAAAACTCTTCTTACAGGCTGAACTATGGTGAAGAGTCACAGAATTCATGAGTCTCATTTAACAAAAGGTTTGCTGGTAACCTCAATTTTTTTAAGGCCAAGAGTGTCTCAACTAGTGTGGGTACACTGTAAGCCAACCTGTAGGTTTTCTGGGTCAAAGATTAATTTTAGGGGATCTGTACCCCTCAGAATTGAGTGTTTGCCCAATAACAACCCATAAAATCCAACCCCCAAAATAACATTCCCTAGCTGTTCCCTGACCTGGAAGAATTTTTCACCTGACCATTTCCTGACCTGTAGCAACCAATTATAAATATGAAAGTACAAATACATGTACCAGTACCTTCAAGTTGAAACTCTTAGGATCGCAAAAACATGCTCACTTAAGAGAGGCGTCCACTTATGCAAGATTACAAATGTTGCATCTAAGTTAAGGGTAGCAAAGGGAGGGTCAAGATCTTTTTTACAAAAACTGCAGAGATTCTCGTGTGCTCATTGGCTAATTTTCATTGTCAGTAAATGAACAGACACATGAATTTACAATTTATGTGATGTGTCAAGGGCAAGAGCAGACAATTTGTTATCGTAAAAAACAAATTGATATTATCTGTACTACCTCGATTAACCGGATTACTTGATTATCCGGACTTTTTCTCTAGTCCCAATTTTGTCATATATTTATTAGTCATGATCAAGATCTGTAGCAATATTCTTTTTAAAACTATAGCATTGAAAAGTGTAGTCAAAGGCGAGTTTCTTTTGCTTTTAAAGAGCAAAAGCAGGGTTTGCACGCTCCAAGTCTAATGAAGAACACTCGAATTAGTTATGACTGGCTCAGAGTTGAGTGGTTAAAGATGTACAGTAGAATATATTGTTTTCCAAATGATTTGTAAAAGTGTTGTTTCACGATTAAATATTGGTTTATTTAAACAGTTTTGTTCTTCATTAATATGCATATTTTCGATTATCCGGACTATTTTGCCTAGTCCCAATGAGTCCGGATAATCGAGGTTCGACTGTACCAAGTTAAACTGGGAGTTTAAATAAGGTGTGGAATTTGAAAAACAGTATTTTTGCTAGAACACATTAACAAGGATGTGATGAAGTATTTTTGAATGCAGTCAGGGAAGAAGACAGTTTTCGTTACATTTTCATCCAGTAGAATTATTTTCTTGACTTCAATTTTTATACATAGAATGGACTGGCCATATTGGAATGATCTGACTTTTTTATGGAACAATCTGACTACAGTTGAATTTCCACTAACAGCCGCCTCTCTACAACAGCCACCTCTCTACAACATCCACTTCTTTAGGTCCCAGCACAGAGTCCATATATTCACTCTTATTTTAACCTCTCTACAACAGCCACCTCTCCACAATGGCAACGAGCACTAAAATGTGTCCCACCTGCCAAGATAGCCTCTCGACAACAGCCAGTTAACCAGTGACTGACAAGCAGTGTATAGAAAACCTCATTTGTTATTATAAAAGGTCACCAAGCTTGATCTTTACCATGTTTCATTGGTCTAAGGTTCTCTTTAGTTTCTGTTAAAAACAGTCAGGTGTGGACATTTTGCCGCCAGAACGATGTGACAAAATAAGAAAAATTCTCCAGCCAGGAGGTCGTTATCACAATCCTAAGAAACAAATGGAACTACTACGTGTTATCAAGGGCAAGAGGAGGTAATCGCCCATTAAACCTCATACCCAACGGAATCCCCCTCGAGCTACTGTTTTGGAAATACCAGGAGTGAAAAGAAACAGCCAAATCTGTAACGCGAATGTTACTCACGTGGACCGCCCAAGCGGCCTGACACACAGTTTTCCTCCTCCGCGAAAACATCCACGCAACGCGCGTGATAACATTATCCGCGGGAAGACTGGGTAGCATGTCTAAAAATAACTTGCGAGGGAATACCTTGGGAATAACGCCTACAAGAGGGTTTACTTCCTACTCTTTTGAAACGAATGAGAGCATATTCAGACACCTATATGAAGCCACCTAAGTTCAGCATGGCGTAAAAACACATCGTGACCTTATACCACAGTAACCAAAATGCCTTTTGCTTTTTAAAAGTTTTACTAACAAGAGCTAGCAGTACATACCAGATCTGGCACAACATCTACAAACGAATCCCACTTGTTCAGAAGTTCATAAAGTTCAGTCACCTATATAAAAAAAATAATATAAACACCAGGAATGGAACATTTGATTTGTTTTTATTCTTCAGTTGACAAGAAATGCCTGCCTCACCATACCAAACCTTATGTGATAACAAATTTGTAACAATCATACATCTCGCAGTGTCCTGGTCAGGTGGTGCTGCTTTGTCTAGACCATCAACATCCCATCCCTCCCTCCCTCCCCATCACATTTCTTACTCTCACCCCCCTTCCCCCCATTAGGAGGAACTCCCAGGCCAGGCCCAGTACTGACTGTACCTGATATCACTCACTCTTTGTTCATCGTGTTCACCAAAACAAAAATAATTCACTTTTGTATTATGTCACCTTGCTCTGCTTAGCTGCATTTTCAGCTTCTTCTTTCTTCTCTGATAGAACACTGACATGATGTAATATTCCCTGAAGAATGAAATACAATAAGGAACACGCTTCAAAGGGACAGTAACCTGGCTGAATGTGTTTTAATAGGTATGACCAGGAGCTTGTTATAAACTTGCTTTATTATCTTGCAATAAAAAGTAAAGGATGCCAGAAGTTGCGGATGCAAAGACATATCAACCAAGAAGGTAAAAATAGCGACTGAGAGATTCAAAATTGCAGCAAAATGACAAAGCTGATTTCTTGACAAAACAAAATGAAATTTGATGAACTGTAATCAATAGGCCCTTTGCACGATGCGGTCACATGGTATAAAATCACACATGCTGGTGAGCAAGTTGCTCAGTGGGACTTCCAAAACAAAGGCAGGTCCAGGTGGACTGNTGTATTTCAAGTTCAAAGCGTATTGGCAATGAAGGGAGAATTTACTGGGACAATTAAGGGAGAAATTCCGCACGTAATTCAGTTGAATGACTGCTAGGTGTGTACTTTTCAATACACGATTCATCTTTATCTACAGTTTGAATAGTAGTTTTCTTTGTTAAGTAAAGAGATCTTTAGTCAATAGTTAAAGAATTTAGTACTTTTGTGCTAAGGACAGTATGAAACAAACCAACAGAGATAAATACTAAACAGGATGTAAGCCTTTAGGGTGGGAAACTAGCTAGTTGGCTAATTTCAATGTATGGCTCAGGGGTTGAACTTGAGACAAACATGAACAAACCCAGTTAATGACTGATTAGAATATTTGAATCAGAGAGCTCCAGATTTCAGTCCAGTGCCTTTAATCACTCTGTGGGGCCAGCTTCCATTTAAAGATGTCTTCCACAACAAAACTATATAATGCATTAACAAAGAGATAAAGAAGCAAAGAAATAGCTTGTTATCTACCAAATGAGTTGGGTCACTGCCTAGAACTGTCTCCAGTTTCTGCACCCGCTGTTCCATTTCACTGATCTAAAAAAAGAACACAATCCAACAGTTTCAAACATCTTTGTTGAGCTTACATGTAAGAGACATTATTCCAACATATTGTGATTAGTAAGTAAGGCCCAGAGCTCGCTTTACACTGTAAACTTGCTTTATTATCTCACTATAAAATGACCAAATGCCAAAAGTCAATTTGTCATAAAAATGCTCTGGTAAATGTTTCTAAAAGTGGCTGGGATCCCGTGGATTGTTAGCTGCATCTGGAGGTTTGTTATTAATTAGTTACATGTAGTTCCAACAAGTGTGAACGTACCTTTGAGAGCTGATTAAACTTAGCATGTTCTGGTTTGTAAAATAGTTCGTATGTAACACAACCATCGTCGCTCTACAATAAAAGGAGAAAGTGTACACTATTTTACTTCCAATCAAAACAAAAGTATCCACTGTATTTAACTTAATCAAAAAAATTAGCTACAAATTACTCTACTTACTGAAAGGTGAGCTTGACCTTTTCACTCAGAATTTGGGTCCTATTGGCAGTTGCATGATTTAGCAGTTCATATTTAAGGTAAAGGCTTGTACTATTAATAATGTAGATGTTAGAAAGAAAGCTTGTGTCATCACAGCTTCTGTGACCACACACAGAAGATGAAGTCAGTGTAAATAAAAACCTTAGCTTCTTTTCCGCCCACTGTTTCAGTGGTTTTGAAAGCTTCAAGTTGAGTCTGCAGGCGTCTGGAAAGAAAACAAAATCAAACCGCAATTAAGTGTAAGCAAACTCTGGTAGGAGCCCAAGAGAATGTAACGCTACAAGAAGAAATTAAGTGTTAGGCTCCCTGGATAAACATTTTGACAGTTTACACCACCAACTTCCAGGGCTGTCCCATTGATATAATTATCATGTAATAACTTCAACTCACTGAGATAATCCTGCTTGAGGTGTTGAGGCCACTGTCAAAGCCTGTTTCAAGCAACAATAACAGATTTGTGAATAGTGGGAAGAGAAGAACTCAGGGTCTAACAAGTGAACATAATTTACGAAGTACTTAACAATAGAAAGGTGCTGCGGTCACACCTAACATTTGAAAACCTCTTGACATGATTACTCATGTCGTGCCAACTATCTATTGTTCTGAATTGTATCTGCCTTATACATGTAAGAAACAGAGTGGATGAGCTCATTATCCCATGAACACAGTTGGCTTAAGATATGATTTGCATCATGTATAGTACCTCATTCATGCTTAATAATTTTCATGCACACTAAATTTCACGATATTGGNATGTCAGTTTTTCATGCGTCTGTCCAGTAAATGACAATGAATTTCGTCATTAACATTGTCAAAGTAGTCTGCGGATCCACTCAGCTATCGCCTCATGGATCCACAGCTACTTTGACAATGTTATGATGAAATTCATGATCTATAACAGGACAGATGCAGAAAAACTGGCGTCAATTTGTTAAATTTCACTAAGAATTTTCAAAAGTTAACATGTCCATAATATTTCAAAAACTATCTACCAACATCAGAGAAATCAGAAAATGTTGCCATAATGTGGATGATCTCCACCCTTACCCACTAATGACTGGTAGTGTATAAGTAGCTCAGACAATCAGATTGCAGCATTTGCAATATAAATATAGAAAATGTTCTCCTTATTCTTTAAGTATTATAGTAAAAAATCTTTGCATTGATTATGCTCTGCTTCAAACACACCTTTATCTGCTCAAGTTCCTCTGCTAGTTCTCGAATCTCATGCTGAAGTCTGTTAAATTTGTTCTGTGGTGTCTCTTTGGCCACTCCATCACCCAGCATTTCAAACTCAGTTTTTGTAGCATAGCCTTGCATTTGCCGAGGACCACACCGCCCTGAAAAATCTGAAGAAAAACAGTTCATGGTTTAGGTTTATGAAGTAACAATAATATTTATGGCTAATAGTCCCTTTCAATGACTGTGCCATGTGGTTTTGTTAATTGTAAAAGATGGTTGTGGTATGAAACAGATACCACATGCATGATGGAATTAGTGATATCATGCCAGGACAAATTAATAAGATTTCTAATTTTGAGGCCACTGACACTTAAAAGCAAGATTTTTAGACAGTTTGATTGTTTGTGAACTTTAAACGATAGTCTGCTTGATAGCAAAGCTTGCCATTCAGTAGCATTTTTTCTAACAAGTCTTCTTAATCTTTTTAACCTTTAGTTTAGATAACTGTCACGTCTCACACTTTAATTTTATGATCTTTGTGCAACTGCAAAACTTAGCAACAATAACATTTTAGAATAAACAGTAGTGATATAAAAAACATGATGTTTTGGCAAATGTTAATACTCACCTGCATCCCCAGGATCCAAATATTTTCCACTGAACTTCTCAAATGCTTCCTTAGCATCAATCTTTAACACGTGAATATTTTCATCACCATTCTGTGTCTAAAATTAACAAGGAAAACTTTTGAATAAAATAACTTGGTCCCTGAATGGTACACAACTTATCACATCATAACATTATTTGTACCTTCAAAACTTAAAGCTAAAACATATCATTAAAATGTGAAGTATCCAGTCAGATCATTTCAAGTCAGATTGTTCCCCCCAAAAGTCAGATCCTTCCAATTATTGGTCAGTTTGTTCCACCAATGATCAGTTCGTTCCACATATAAATAGTTAGATAAAGATCCTTAAAATAGTTAATAGACTGCTCCATGACAGAAAGAACAATAATCTGTTTCCAGGATCTATAGAGTAAATGTCTCCAGTCATACACTACATTTGAAATTTGTCATTTTATAACCAACCTAGTTTTCAATAATTTCAACTAATCAATTGCGACGATTTTAAAGTCAAACCTCAATATTATCTGTACTACCTCGATTAACCGGATTACTTGATTATCCGGACTTTTTCTCTAGTCCCAATTTTGTCATATATTTATTAGTCATGATCAAGATCTGTAGCAATATTCTTTTTAAAACTATAGCATTGAAAAGTGTAGTCAAAGGCGAGTTTCTTTTGCTTTTAAAGAGCAAAAGCAGGGTTTGCACGCTCCAAGTCTAATGAAGAACACTCGAATTAGTTATGACTGGCTCAGAGTTGAGTGGTTAAAGATGTACAGTAGAATATATTGTTTTCCAAATGATTTGTAAAAGTGTTGTTTCACGATTAAATATTGGTTTATTTAAACAGTTTTGTTCTTCATTAATATTCATATTTTCGATTATCCGGACTATTTTGCCTAGTCCCAATGAGTCCAGAAAATCGAGGTTCGACTGTACCAAGTTAAACTGGGAGCTTAAATAAGGTGTGGAATTTGAAAAACAGTATTTTTGCTAGAACACATTAACAAGGATGTGATGAAGTATTTTTGAATGCAGTCAGGGAAGAAGACAGTTTTCGTTACATTTTCATCCAGTAGAATTATTTTCTTGACTTCAATTTTTATACATAGAATGGACTGGCCATATTGGAATGATCTGACTTTTTTATGGAACAATCTGACTACAGTTGAATTTCCACTAACAGCCGCCTCTCTACAACAGCCACCTCTCTACAACATCCACTTCTTTAGGTCCCAGCACAGAGTCCATATATTCACTCTTATTTTAACCTCTCTACAACAGCCACCTCTCCACAATGGCAACGAGCACTAAAATGTGTCCCACCTGCCAAGATAGCCTCTCGACAACAGCCAGTTAACCAGTGACTGACAAGCAGTGTATAGAAAACCTCATTTGTTATTATAAAAGGTCACCAAGCTTGATCTTTACCATGTTTCATTGGTCTAAGGTTCTCTTTAGTTTCTGTTTTTGATTGTGTTTATAGGCTAAAATAAGCATATTTTTAAAGAATTGAAATGTTGCACCCCCAAAAAACAAGTGTCATGTTACACCCCTACCTCTCCATATATGGCCACCTCTCTACAACAGTCACTTTCCTCTGTCCCCAAGGTGGCCATTGTGGAGAGGTTTGACTGTATAGTATGCAACAATCCTGACTGTAATCAAATGTAAGCCTACACCCCTTTGGATGCCATCTAATATGACATCAAACATCGGTGGCAAAATTTGCTTTAGATTTTTTTGCTATGAATTAATCGTTAAAGTAGCCATTTTAATGGTTAAGCAACAAGTTATTGTGCAAACCGACCGACGAATCGCCGTTTTGTTCAGCTAACTTCTCCACAACATCAGGTGTTTCATAAACGTCTGGCTGATTGTCCTAAATGTCGAAACAAAGCGTAAAAATACTTCAGCAATTATCCAAATGAAGAATTAGCTTAGTGAATTTGCCATTGAGAGGCAAAACAATTAAAGATTGCGACTTAAAACTACTTACAATTCCCGGCAGCTCGGAATATTTACTCCTCACTGCCATGATTCTTCTCGTTACGACTTTGTAACCTCTCTTCCAGGTAAGTAGTTCATGTATTAGGACACATACTGTCTCTGACACCCTGCAAAAGAAACTCGGTTGGCCAATGCCAAAAACAAAACTTTTCATGTAGTTTTTTACGGAACCGACTTCTAGAATCCTTTGAATTGATATCATGCAAGCAGGAGCTTATTGATATAAGTCGCTTTCAGCTCATATCAGTCCTGGATGGAAGCACTTCAGTTACAAAAGGTCCAGAGCATCATTTTGAGCCTGGGTGGGAGGGAACGTACGGAGGGACATAATTTTCCTGTCCTATAATTTTTTCACACCACAAATGTAGATGTTTGAGGGTACGTGCTACTTCGCTTTCTTAGATCTTCTATTTCAACGAGCTCAATTCGATGATGAGCCTGTGATAAGTTGAAATTCAGTGAATCAACAAAGAAAATCAAAACAAGTCACGCGGGAATTCTTAGAAAATTTCTAGGTTGGGTGTTTGTTTTCTAATCATAGATAAATCAAAAGAAACACGGCCGTAACAGAAACAGAATTACATACGTCTTTTTAAAAAATGATTTTTAAATCTTTCATTCACGTGTCAGCTACCTTTTTCTGTTTGTTTGTTTATCGGGTGTGAAATGCATAGCAATGACGTCACGAAGAACCGGCTTACCCAGTTAAAAAATATCCCGGATATTCATCACGGTCGTGATTGGTAGAAATCACGCAAGGAAGAGGAACATTTCACAAGACAGGGACAGCACCCAACTGAAGGCGTTCGTTTGTAGGCGGTTAGAGTAAGAGAGAAATTAAAGCTGAAAATGGAAGACAAGGACCCAACCGAATTGGTTTCTTTGGCTAAATTAGCGGAACAAGCCGAACGTTATGATGACATGGTGGTATGGATGAAATCTGTGGCAGAGAAAAAGCAAGAGGGCCTCACTGACGAAGAAAGAAATTTGCTGTCGGTGGCATACAAGAACGTGGTGGGCGCGCGAAGGTCTTCTTGGCGAATCATTTCGAGTCTGGAGCAGAAGGCAGAGGACGAAGATAAAAAAAGAACTGCGGTGAATTATCGGGAAGTAGTGGAAAAGGAATTACAGGAGAAGTGCAACGAAGTCTTGAAGTTGATTGATGAACACCTTCTTCCTTCCGCGGCAAAAGCGCAGAGCCCCGAACCAAAGGTGTTCTACTTAAAAATGAAGGGTGACTACCTTCGTTACCTAGTCGAGATTGTGTTGGCAGAGGATGACAACAGTAAACGAGAACGCAAAGAGAAAGCAGATTTATCCAAGGAAGCTTACTTAAAAGCAAAGGAAGAAGCTGATCGATTGGCTACAACTCACCCTATTCGTCTTGGTTTGGCTCTTAATTTCTCCGTGTTCTACTACGAGATTGAAAATGACTCAGAGGCGGCCTGCAGGTTGGCGAAACAGGCTTTTGATGATGCTATCTCCGAATTGGATCAATTGAAAGAAGATTCTTACAAGGATAGCACTTTGATAATGCAACTTCTCCGTGACAATCTTACTTTGTGGACATCTGAAGAACAAGGAGACGGTCAAGGAGACGATTAAACTCGTGACCAATTTCTTAATTAAAGCCCGTATTTTTGTCTTAACTCGGAATTCGAGAAGAGATGTAAAAAAGTGACAAATTCAGTTGCCATTTAATCAAGAGGAGCGTCCTCATTAATCATTAGGAATCTAGCTGTAAACAATTTTTAAGTGTATTTTCTTGCAAAACTTTCTTGTGGTATGCTGTGAAATATCTCAGACTGAGTCTACTTTAAGTGTGCACACAATACCTGTATACATGTACGTTCACACTATTAACCTCCATTTTGGGAAAAAATATGCACCATCGCATCTGTTCCGAGAAATGAACTGTTTTCCAAGCACAAAGCTGCGGGAAAATGGTGATCTTTGGTGAACAGGTCATGTCCAAGGAGAAATACCTGCACATATTTTAAACAGTTTATTTGGGACAGCAAAGAAAATATAAATTTGAAAAACCAGGGTTATCCTCTTAAAGTTTCAAGTTTGGCTGTGTTGTGTGACATGTTCAGGTCAATAACACAAAATAGTAAACGAGAAAAATATTTGATGGATTGTGGACCATGATGTAGGGGATTTTAGGGGTGCACCACAAGATGGAGGCATGGAGCTACATGTATTTATTGCCTGCCTTGAATCAGACATGTTAACTAGACCATAGATTGGATAAATCTGACATTTTGTGAATTTCTGACCATTTTCTGAAGATTTTTTGTGGACATTGAAACATTCCAAATCATTTCTGAACATTTTCAATTACTGATTAATGAATAAAGCAATTGATTTGTGATGAAGTTTGTGACTATCTGGACACTTTTACTGAGTACAGCTTTCAGTTACTGCTTTCTATTGTGATTTGTTGATCATGGGTTAAATCTGTGCGTGGTTTGAAATTTGTGAACAGTTTGATATGTATCTCTCTTTGTTTTAGATAATAGGTATGAATTTTATGAGCATTTTTGTTCAGTTACTATATTCATGTTCTGGTAAATATGCCTTCACTGAAGGTAATTCATTGTTGCCCAGAGCCATAACAGACTTTAAACTGTCTTTTCACATTGGTGTTTTAACCCTAGATATCGAAGGAAGTGTTATTCTAAGCTTAAACAAAGTACTATTTTCCAACATGCTGTCGAATGGGTTTGATTTCTGTGCAAGTTGAAGCGTCTGGTTGCTAATATGGGAAATAATTTCAAGCTTCAAACAAATTTAAACCATAACATATATGACAAAGTTTTCTTTCCTGTATGACATTTAAAATAGATTTTTTGCTTTTGTCTAAAAGTTTGTCAAGTTGTATGGATAAATAATGTTAGAAATGCATTCCCACATTGTGCAAGTTCTTTAACTAATCAAGTTACAAAATAGAGAAACCTGTAGTAGTTTGAGACTGATTTCACGTTGCTGCATCAAGTGCGGCTTCAACATTGTCACTGAATATTTTCAACTGGATATGAATCCTGTTGCAAGTATTAATTTTAATCTCTTTGCACTGCATGAACAAGTTTTGAAATATAAGCTATGTGCAATATTGTTTGCCACAACTGTTAACTACTATGTCCAGTAATTTGAGTGGCCAGTTATTTAAGATTTGTACATGTACCATATATATCAGTGCCATATCAAGAAAAATTGTTTGGGTTGAAAAAAAAAAAACGGTATTGTGTTTTGTAGAACTGATTGGAAAGTCTACCATTAATACAACTCAGTACAATGAACAGGGCTGTAGCCAGAAAAAAATTATGACTAAGACAAATTTATGTCCATGATTAAATTCTCTTCCTAGGTATTTTTTACTTTCTCCCTTAAAAAAACTAACAAATAAAGTACTGAGGGAAGTGCCTGTTTGCCTCGTACTGGCTACAGCTCAGATGTCAAGACAATGATTGTGGATGATGAACGTGGATTTGACGCTCCTGGGAATATGAGGAAATTCAAAGATATCTCCCGAGTGGCTTATGTTACCCATAGTTCTACCAAACACCATGCTGGTTATAAGCTCCCAGCTTGTAAGACTGCAGCTTATAATATAAGCCCCCTTGTTATGGGTACCCTGTGGTCAGGTCAGGTGACAGTTCACTCAAGGTCTAACATGAATTGCTCGCTAACCTTTGAGGGGAACTTGAACAAACAACAGAAACCATGCCTCTAACCCCAAAACAACAGATGCTGAGGATGAATAAAGTTACAAGCTAAGCTTGGAAGAGCTGCTAGATTTCAGGCCATTAGACTTGATTTCTGCAGCCCTCTTGAGTCCCTTTCCCATTTGCCTGAACATTGCCGTAAATTAGCTTGTAATTAAGCCCATGTGCCAATGAAAAAAAATTATTCTCATTTCTAACCTCCCCCCTCTATCTGGACGTAAGCCTTACCAATCAACTTTCCCATATGAGTGATGTCCCTTGTAAAGATTGTGTTTCAAACACGAATAGAACATAAGTTCACAGGTTGGAGGTAAAATTGACGAGTGCTTATTTGATCTTATTTATTCCAAGTTTGACCTTCTTCACTCAATTTCAACTTTTTGCACTCAATTTCAGTATTCTGCACTGTTTGGGATAAATTGATGTGTTCTCAACCAGTCAGCACAGTAAAATTTCCACATGTTTACAATTACAATGCAGCTTTTCTTGTGAACTTGCTGTCTTGGCTTTGAGTGAATGAGAGCACCCTGCGAGCAGAGCCTCTTTTATTGCTTTTTCAGGGTGGTATGAGTAAAACGTTCAGGAAAAATAATTCTTATCTTTGATCAGGCAGGCCATATATATGTTCAAAGTATTTGTAATAGACTCTGCTAGGGGATAGTTTATTTGCTTTATAACTAAAAGGAGAATAATTTAATTTTTGCTGTGCAGGTTTTTTCTATTGTTATTTACAAATTCTGCGTCCTAAGCTATCATTAATTTTATATACCGTATGCGTAAATATATTTTTTCGTTATGTAGATCCACGCTTCAGATGTTATTCACCTCCTCATTCGTTAAAGCACATATTCATGTTCATATTTCTGTCAAATTGTTCACATTTTCTTCCTACACCCATTTCCCGCTTGTGCGATATCCCGGATGTACATTAAAGTTATGATTGGTAGATATCCCGCAAATCGACTAGGACACGTGACCCAGCAAAGAAGGAAGACAGCTCCCGTCGAACACGTCCGGCGATTGTTCATTGAAAGGGTTTCGCTTGACGAAATATTGTAGCTTATCAAGGGTACAATGGCAGGCCAAGTTGATCGGGATAAGTTAGTTTATCAGGCTAAACTAGCTGAACAAGCTGAGCGTTATGAAGACATGGTAGACGCGATGAAATCAGTGGTGGAAAGTAAAGAGGGCAACGACTTGAGCAACGAGGAAAGAAATCTGCTGTCGGTGGCTTACAAGAACGTGGTGGGCGCGCGGAGGTCTGCCTGGCGAATCATTTCGAGTTTTGAGCAAAAGTCAGAAGTTGGAAATAAAGCCGAATTGGCCGAGGAATATCTCAATAAAATAAAAGAAGAACTGAAGGAGAAGTGCAACGAAGTCTTAAAATTGATCGATGAACACCTCCTTAAGCTCGCTGATACAAATCAAGGGGACGCGAAAAGCTCCGAACCAAAGGTGTTCTACTTAAAAATGAAAGGCGATTACTACCGTTATCTGGTCGAGATTGAGCCACAGGAAAGCGACGAACGCAGAGATTTAGCGGAAAAATCCCAGAAAGCTTACGAAGAAGCAAAAGAGAATGCTAAGCCCTTGGCTCCAACTCATCCCATTCGTCTTGGTTTGGCGCTCAATTTCTCCGTGTTCTACTACGAGATTAAAAATGACCAAACACAGGCCTGTAAGTTGGCGAAAGAAGCTTTTGATGAGGCGATAGCCGATCTGGACAGTGTAGAAGAAGATTCTTATAAGGACAGTACTTTGATAATGCAACTTCTGCGTGACAATTTAACTCTGTGGCAATCAGACGCTGGCGATACCGAAGTTGATGGTGGAGATTGAAGTGTTAAAGTTTATAGTGTAAACCTATCTTCCTTGCCTTGAACTGTTAGCACTGGAATAAAGAAAGTTCAGGACATGTAGGCTAAAAACAATGAACGATGTAGCTCTTAACTGCTAAGTTGACTATAAAAAGCTGGTAGCATAAGCGTGTATTTACAGTTTCTTTCGTGCACTGTTGGTTACAGATCACTTGTGCTCTAAGTAAAGGCAGTTGAAATATGCGAAGGTAAACTGAAAAGTGTTATCTCGTTGTATTTAAACGTCAAGCGTAAAGCGATGCTGTGAACATCAGGAAAATCAAGAGTATGAAGGTCTGTGCTTTTCAATACCAGTGAAGTATTAGTGGTGTTTTTCTTTGGAACGGAATTAAAGCCATTTACTGCCGTGCTAACCCTTGCTCTCCTCATTGTTAAGATTTTTCTGCTACAAAATATGTCATTCCTGAGGGGTTGGGGTTCTCTTACAGCATTGTTTTGGTAAGGTAAAAGAAAAGTCTTCATACAAGCCAAGTGGCTGATCAGGCCAGAGCTTATCCTGGTTTCAGTAACATAAAGCGACCAGTAGTATTTCTACTTTCTCCTGGATGGGATGCTAGTCCATCGCAGGGTTACCCCCAGCATTAAGTTCGCCAGTACCTATTTATACACCTGGGTGAAGAGAGGCACTGTGAGAGTAAAGTGTTTTGCCCAAGAACACAACACAATGTCCTTGGGCAGAGCTCGAACCTGGACTGCCCGCTCTGGAGTCGATGCACATTTTGAGCTATTGAGTACCAGTATTTCTGAAGGGTTTTGGAATAGAGGTGGCTTTTACTTGAGGGTACATTGTGTTGGCACTTTGACCTGGTGGGTGGAGATGTAAAATGTAACGGACCTGAACTGTTGCAAAATACATGTGAAAAATTCTCCACCACGGAATACTAGGCAGTGTAACAGAAAAAGGACTTTCTCTGAATTATTTTTAATCGCACTGCTGTCAATCGATAGGAATAAAATGAACTAATCAAGAGACTTCTCTGTTCAAAACAATGTTCAAGATATGTGTTAAAGCAACTTGACTGCTCCTTTAATGCCAGAGCATGACTTTCACGAAAAAACCTTGGGGCCAGTTGGCCACTAAGCTTTCAGATTTAGTCACCAGCAGCAAGTATTTCAGTGAAAAGCATGAAAAGTTAGTCGCCAGTGAAAAATATCAGGTTGCATTGGTGGCCTCAGTGGCCACAACATCAAGCTCTGAATGCTGGTTAATTAAATGAACAGTAAGAACGTAGAGATTAAAGGGGCTCATTCACAATACTTTTGAGTTGTTTTGGCCACATACAGAATTACCTTTAAATTGAAGGAAACCTTATAATAGTTTACCAAGAAAGAAAAACACAAAGGAGATAATAATTAACCATGAGGGAATAGGGATGGAGAAGACTAGCAAGGATTGCAAACCATGAAATTGAAAAATTTAGGCTAAACATAACCAAGTTTCCATTGGTTAGTTCCTCAGTACGGAGTAAACAACTATTATGTTTTGTGCAGGGTCAAGGCCAAAACAGAGAACAAAAACATACAACAAAGAAGTTTGTCATGTTTCATGACCATACCCTTCTATTAACTATGCCTGGATGTGCTGGGAAATCAAAGAAATGACATGATGTAAGGAAACAGAAGACAATCTATGTACAGTTGAACTGCTCCACAATGGCCATCTTGGGGACAGAGGAATGTGGCTGTTGGAGGTAGGGGTGTAACATGACACTTTTTTTGGAAGTGCAACATTTCTTTTTCTTAACAAAATGCTCATTTTAGCATATAAACTGTACATAACCCAATCAAAATGTACCAATAAAACAGGAACTAAACAGAAACAGAGACCAACGAAGCATGGTACCAATCAAGTTTGGCGACCTTTCACAATAAAAAATGGAGTTTTGTAAACACTGTTTGCCAGTCACTGGTTAACTGGCTGTTGTCAAGGGGTTATTTGGCAGATGGGACGCACTGTGGTGGCTTTTGCTGTTGTGGAGAGGTGGCTGTTGTAGAGAGGTTAAAATAAGAGTGAATGTATGGACTGTCCGCGGGAACCAAAACAAGAGAGGTGGCCATAATTCTGTAGAGAGGTGGCTGTTACTGGAGGTTTGACAGTAACTGAAACATTATTTATTCAGTGTGAATATTGATATAATTCTGAGCGTGTGAAGGAAGGAACTGGGCATATTCTTGCCACATTTACTCAACAATAAGCAAGCATCCCTACAAATAGCAAATTAGCTCATGGAAATTTGATTCAATTCTTCACTTAAATATTCTGTTCTTGAAATTTGAAAATTAATTCAAAATGTAAAATTAATGTTGATTGGGTTGCTACCTGGATTCACATGGGAATTTGATCCAAATTTGCATAATTTGACTGTAAACAACAGTGTTACATAATTATCATACATAGGATTTTCTCATTATTCTGTTTGCTACTTGCTTAATTATATTTTATTTTCATTTATTTTTCAGCCCTCTCATAAAGAAATATACCAGAACAGAGGCAAGGAAATATTTTGGTCTACTGTAGAGACTCAAAAAACCAAATCAATTCAAAATAAAAGATCTAAACCCCATTTTACACAAACTTAGTAGGTACCACCAGCTGACATTAAATTTTGCAATACAAGTTACTATCAATGGGTATGTTACAGGTTGTTACCTAGCTCTTGTTTTTTGATGTGAGTATTTTACACATACAAATTATGTCTTTTGAATCTTTTGTTTTATCTCACCATGAAATCAATAAAGATCTCACTTCGTTTATTCTTTTGACGGTTGTTTCGTTCAATGCAACCAAGTGTTTTTCAAAGGTATTTACAGGTTGTTACCTAGCTCTTGTTTTTTGATGTGAGTATTTTACACGTACAAATTATGTCTTTTGAATCTTTTGTTTCATCTCACCATGAAATCAATGAAGATCTCACTTCGTTTATTCTTTTGACGGTTGTTTCGTTCAATGCAACCAAGTGTTTTTCAAAGGTATTTTAATTAAACTTTAAGGCAAATTTCGTCTGTGGTCTAGTGAGACAGAGCACAAGGTAAGGAAACCTGAGACCCTGAAGGCCTGATGTAATCGATTGAGTAATAATTAACCTCTTTGATTCTAGATCAAAACAATATGATCAAATGTGCCGTTCCAGAAATATCCATTCAAAAATGAAACTGGGATCATCAACATTTTTTCACTTTTATTTCTGTTCTCCATGATTTGAAAAAAAGAACATGTGAAGAGAAACACAGACATTATAAAGTCGAAAATGCCAAAAACTTAACATAGACTTCCAACTCATTAATAATTCACCAAGTTTATACAAAGGAAATCATGACTGTGACAGGGTTGGGATCCTAGTTAGCATAGATTTTTATGATTTTATTTCCCCATTTAGATCGTCTTTGTTGCATTTACTGTAACTATGTACATCGCTGTTTCTTAACAGTTCTATACTGTGGGAAGTTATTCCATTAACGCATTTATGTTTGTACAGGCAACAATGAAAGAGCCTCCTGTTATCAGTTTAAACCAATAAGAATCAGAGAAAAGTCAGTGGTGAACTATAGTGGGTTATAGAAACATGGGTGGAAGTTTTGGGAGAATAAGAAATGCTTTGGGATCGTGAGCTGACAAGTGGGTGTTTCCACAGCTTTTTCAACATACAAAAATTATACTAAATTAACGTGGGTGATTGTGAAAAATTTTGAAAAGGATTCTCTCAATAGGGCCAGCATCGTATTTTGGGGGACATGGCTCGAGTTCATTTTCACTCCCCAGAGGTACCATTAGAAGTACTAAATCTTTCTGCTAAGTCATCTCTGAGAAATTTTTTCCAGTTTAATACCAAAAGGTACCAGAATAGTCTAAACATTGGTGAATCAGTGAATCGGTCATGTACTATAATGACCATGTCATTTTTCTTACTAAAGGAAGTCCCCCATCCAAATATACAGTTCTCGCTAAACATTACCTGTACATCTGAGTTTCATCCTTGGAGACCCGGGGGCAGAAAGTTGGGTCACTGGAAGTCCACTGGGCAAAAATGGTGCAAACAAAAGTCACGAATATTCTTGAGAACTTTGTTCACACTGTTTTCACCTGTTTGACTTCCTCCTGACCTGACTATCTGCTCTTGAGTCGCTGTCTGAGTCAATCACTACAGTGCCTATGCATCTGTTAGGAGACATTCTAGATTCCTGATTTCCTTGGGCTCTGACTAGCAAAGTATTTTTGTATTCCAGAGGACTTTTTCACCTTTGTTGCAACTTTGTCATGTTTGCCTTGCTGCTGCCAACTGGCTTGTAACTCTTTCTGTATTTCACTTGGAAGCTCACAAAAAACAGTAGGATCTATGCCGCTGGGACAGATGGTATTGGGTTCAATTTTCTTTGTGTTCAAACCATCAATACTTGTTTCATTAAGCTGGATAACCTGTGTAGTTAGCACTGAACTCTGCCGTAGTTCCTGCTCCTTGGTGGTGACATCGTTGGGTCCATTCAAGGCCTCACAATCATGTTGATCATCCTTCAATAGCAGACTACTGCAAGTAGCAAAAGATGCTGAACATGCTTGCTGGGAGCAAGACCTCTCAAAAAAATTTGAGATCTTCTTGGATTGAGCTGCACTTGATTTGTGAAAGTTTGTTAATGAAACTCCTATCAGAGTTAAGTGAAATGGCTTCTTCACATCAACAACCTTATTGAACAGAGAGAGGCAAATGGCCAATAGCAAATCTCGTGTTTTGTCTTTGTTGTTGAATGAAACAGTGTTAGGTATTTGACACTGACGACTCTCTCTTTTGTAAACCTTATCTTCTTGCTTTCTCACTGTAACTCTCACAGTCTGAGGTATGCCAATGTCGTAAGAAACTCTTGGAAGTAATCCATCAATAAGGCTCTCAAGTCGCTTCCTTGCATCATCAAGCGTTGAACATTTCTTGAAGGAATCTTCATCACTGATTGACTTAAATTCTCCAGATGGGATAACTTTGCTGTCATCAATGCCATGGCATAATCTAACCATCTGCTCTGCTAGTGAGTTGCCAAATTCTTTTGCCAGTACTTGCTGGGAACATGTCAGTAGGTCAGTAACAGATAAAATGTTAATTGTTCGCAGCTTTTTGGCCATGCTATGTCCAATCCCTGTTAAGTGAAAAAAACTGTTACTAATAACCACAACAACAACAAAACTTTTCAGTAAAATTAGCAATAAAATGACCATTATTTTAACCAGCAGTACAGGTAACTAGCTAGTCAAGTAAGATCAATTTTAGATGGCAGAGTTTAAGCCATGGGTTGGCTTGTGCAACTGTTTATTTTTTGAAACCATTTTATACTCCTAGTTTAAGAGTGCAAGAGTGAGAGTTATGCCTTTCCCAAAAACATGACAGCCATGGCCAAGCAGCTCAGTAATCCAGAATAATTTTGTGCCTGGATTTCAAATATTTCTATTCGTCCCCATACATGTCCCTCAGTGCATTTGTGCCTGTTCTTCAGTGAAGGTGGCTAGGGTTTAAATGTAAAAAAACTAGTGTGTGATGAATGACAAGCATCTAAAAGAAGTACATGATCCCTGAGTTTATGAAAAAAAAAATAGCCGCTAAAAATATATGTGACGTGTGAACTTTGTCAAAATTCACCTTTGAAACAGGATCACAGCACCCTCACCCCCCACCAGCACTTTACTTGGGGTTTTTGTTACAGTTTTCGCAATGATTGTTCACTCACTCTTAGTCTGAACCATTCTTAGTAAATTTGACTCTTTCAGATTAATCTGAGTTCAAGCCTCATTCTGGGTTGCTGTGCCATTTTTCTTTGGTAAGACATACTAGAAAACATCCAAAATGAGTAAAAAAGTAGTTAAGATGCTTTTAGAAAATGACACTTAACGATATTTAACCCCAAATTATATTTCATAATTATGTGCCTAGCAATAATTATCTAATACCCCGGCTCCCCTAATTCAATATTCTGTAACTGCTGTGGTCTGCACAGTCTTAGAAATGAAAAATCAGTATTGTTTCAATGGAGGGAGTGGCAGGGGGGGTAATGTTCCAAGACACTCAAAAATGGAATCTTACAACAAAGTGTCTCAACACTTTTGTTGTTTATTGTAGGTTTAGTTAGTTCCTCTGTTCACCCAGGAGTATAAAAGGATATAGCAAATGCTAAGTAGCATGAAGTGATAAGAAGTTTTGCCACCACCCCTGAATGTGACATGAGTCCTGATTGAAGGGTACCCAAGAGCATTTACCAGCCACCTACCGTATTTACCCGTGTATTAGTCGATCCCATGTATAAGTCGACCCCCAATTTTTGAGGCCAAAAACTAGATTTTCTTAATTTCCAGGTAAGAATTTCCTGGAAAACGTATCTTGTATTTATTAAAATTATCTTTCAACTACCACAGATATGTAAACAAATCACAGCAAGTTTCAACACGCAGTTTTAAAGTTTATTATGGCACGTATATGAGCGTTTAACCTAGTTTAGCAACACGTGTGCATGCAGGCTTTTCGACAATAATTTTTGTAAAATGTTCACAAAATCAAACAAGGATTTCAAACAAACCTTTTTAAATGCGAAGAGATTAAAAGTGGCTTTATAAGACAGGCAAAACACCAAAGAAGCTCACGACTTTTAGAACGACGCCATAAACAAAGTGCAAAGCATGTGTTGGGAACTTGGTAGTCAAGCCTTGAAATCGGTCAAGTACTAGTACAGAAGTCCTTGCACTCGTGTCTTGCCAGGTTACCAAGCAGAGAAGTTCGAAGTGTGAAAGATGTTTTCTCCGAGCGGCTTTACTACAGCTTTATTTATGGGAAAAATATTGGTTCTTTATGACAAAATTAAGCCAGTGAGTGTCTACAAGATTCAGGTTAAAATTTAACGGATAAATGTTGATGCATTTTAACTTGAAGCTCTGATATAGAGAGACAGATTGCTAAGCGAACGTAAGTTGTAAACTGTGCTGCCGTTTATCACGTGTTTGTTAACATTGAAAGACAATTATTATGCTAATTATTTGACTGGGGCTTGGATCTCAAGTTTTGACCCATGTATAAGTCGAGGGCGAATTTTTGGACTAATTTTTAGGTCTTGAAAGGTCGACTTATACACGGGAAAATACTGAATATACTCCTGAGAGGAGATGGAAGTACATCAGACGCATGATGAAGAAAGAGCCACACAACAACTGCAGGACTTGTTAACATGAATGCCAGAAGGCCACCAAAGAGTCGGTAGACCCAGAACATCGTAAAGGGCAGCAGAGAAAGAGATGGAAATAGCTAAATTAAGAACCAAGGTGTGCATCATAATGGCCAACAGAACAGGTTGGCAGCAGAGTGTAGAGGCCTTATGTACCACTAATTAAAGAAGATCTAGCTGAAGGTGATATATGTCGCAGGTGGGGGACTCCCATGTGGAAAGGTCGGGGATGCTCATTGGAAAATTTTAATTAAACCCCCAAAGGAGACCAATGTAGGTGTGAGTCGAGCTTTATTTGATTCCTGAAAGACACCACTTAAAACGCAATAGGCTTCTGCTGTTCAGAAAAGGAGCCCAAACAAGTAAACTGCACAGAATAGACTGGCAGAAATTGAGATTAAAAATGGAAATAAGAGTATTTTTAAATTATTTTTTTCTTTGAGTGTACCCTGAAAGATGCTTTGACACCTAAAAAATTAATAGTCACTGTGGCGTTTCATGATGAACACCCTAAGCGGGACTATACACTCCTGGTGCCAGTTGTTCAAAGGGTGAATAATGTCATCCACTGGATAAATCTCTCTTCAGTGGATAGTGCAGTTTGTTTTGCCGTCACCTTCAACTAAATAGCGATCTATCCAGAGGATAGTGTTATCCACCCTTTGAACTACTGGGCCCTGGAGACCAGAGTACATGTAACTATGTTGACTTTCAGCACAACTTGCGGAGGAAACTGGCACTTCACAATAATTACAACAGTGTTTACTTTTCCATTGGTTATACCTGGAATGTCTCTTGCTTGAAGTCCTGACAAGAGGCTCTCAGCATCCTCAGGAAGCAGTGTTGTTTGCATGTTGGGTTTCCTCCACCCACCCACAAGTTTAGCAAGGAGTTTATTGTGAGCAATTCCAGCACAGCATGTCAGGCCAGTGTCTTGAAGGATTGCCTGTCTGACTTCCGCTGCAATTACAGATCCCAATTTCAGCCTCTCATGGCAACCACAAGGGCATGGACTTATAACCTGAAAAAATAATCATTTTGCTTGCTCTTTCTACAAAATTTGAAAATTAACAGAGAGACCAGCAGCTCCAGAAAATATCCATACCTACCCCATGGAGGGATTTTTTGTAAGACCCCTAACCCCTTTCGAAATTCCAATTTTAAAAGCTTCATACATGTACATTTTTTTAGGTCGTACAGACCAAACAAAAGAATAAAAGATTTTATAATATAGATAGGACCCTGCGCACACTCTGATTGGTCAAAAAACTATGTTTCATCAGAGTATAAAACATAGAAAAAGCGTGCTTTATTGTTTTCTTGCCACATTACCTCTATACCATAAAGCAAATGAAGAAGCCTAAGCCATGTATTACACTGTGATAAAACACCCTGGACATTTGAAAACACTCAAGAAATGTAGAAAACACGAGCCGCAGGCGAGTGTTTTCTACATTTCCCTCATGTTCTCAGATGCCCGTTGTGTTTTATCACAGTATAATACACCACTTAGGCTTCTTTATTTGTTAAGTATATTTGAACTGCAGTAAGAATAAATTTAAGACATGAATGATCATCACAGTTATGTACACAACTTAAGAACAGTTGTGCAAAACAAGTCTAGAAAAAATTCAGGATTGAGCAGTGATTCGAACTCAAAGCACTGCACTGGTATGTCAGAAGTCACGAGTTCAAATCCAATTAAAACATCACTAATTACAAGAACTGGGCTCCTCCAGCTCAGTTAAAACACCTTTAGAGGGGTGTCTGGAAAACCCGAATAGCGAATAGCGAATAGTCGCGAATAGCAAATAGTCCCGAATAGTGTGAATAGTATCAAATAGTGTGAATAGTGGCGAACAGTCACGAAAAGTGGTGAATAGTGACGAAGAGTCATCAATAGTCACTGCTTTAGGTCTAATATCCTTGCATTAATTAATCATCCAAATAAGCAACAGAATTTCAGTGAATTTATTACCTTTTCTTCTCCGGACTCGGGCTCAGGCTGTCCATCACCGACATTAAGAAAACAGAAAACACAAGGATAACCTAATAAAGACATATTTACACTTTTGGAGTGATTAAAACAGAAGAAACTACGTTTAGAAACACCTTTTGTTCTGATAAGCGGGAAAATCCCGTCCTACGTTGCTGCAAGGTTGACTGCGAGATACTGGGTACCCTATTTGCTACGATTTGCCACTAATGTGCCACTATTTGCTAGTATTCACCAATATTCGAGACTATTCGTACTATTCGCTATTCGCTATTCGGGACTATTCACTGTTTGCTATTTAACAATTAGACCCGTAGCCCT